AGTAACATCGTGCACTTGGTAAAGGATTTGAATTATATTTATACATTTAGTGAATTATTCAATCGATAAATATAATCGATGGGATGATAGATGTAACAACTACGTACTTTCAGCTCAAATCGAACAAAAGTTTACTGAATGACTTTTTACAACGAAATAATAAAGTTATTTCAGTACCGATATTTATTATTTATATTAATTATATAACAAAGTTTTATTAATACGATTTAGAATGAGCCTATTATATTTTTTATATTAAATTGCTATTTATTTTTTTTTTTTAGAGCTATACTTCAAAATCGCTTAAAAAATTATTAAAATATTTAGTTTATCATCAAATTTATTCATGGTAAAGATTAGTTAAATATACAAATTACAGTGATTAATAATGTTATTAATTAAACATTTCTTTAGTATTTTAAACGCTAAAACATTTGTATAGTATAGTAAATAAGAAGTGCATAGAGAGAATGACAATTTAGTGTTCGTAACGCTAAAACGTTCGTATAATGGAATTAATAAATATTTTAATTGTGTTACATTTTTATATTTTGACATTACGAATTAGGTGATTAGAATTAATACGGTAGTGAATTATTTATTTTCACTAAATTCTGATTAATTACATTGCCTTTGAATTTAAACTTTTCGTAATCTAATATTTTAAATATTTCAATAAATATTACTTCAGTAGTAATGTTTATTATTTACATTAATTAGATAATTATAATTCATCATATTTTTCATCGTATTTTTAATTAACTTATTACTTTTTTATTTATTTCAAGGCTATTTTAAAATATATCTAGGGTAATATTACAACTACATCTCAAGTTACTAAATTTTGTAGTTTTTCATCAAGATCATTTATGCAAAAGTTCAAAAAATTCAAATAAATGTGATTAATGTTAATATTATATTTTTTGTAAATGTTCCTAAAGCTAAAAGTTTTTATAGTATTGTGAATAAATACAATATCTTACTTTAATAATATTTTGATCAGACCATCTGATGATTGTCAACAGTTGTTATCTGGTGCAGATTTATATTGAAAGATAAAAAAAAAAAAAGATTTAATAAAAATTATTTTAGTACTACAATATGAATTGTTAGAATAGTACTGAATTATTTACTTTTTTTTTTTTATATTTTGTGCAATGTCATTGTCCTTGAAATTACAACTTTTTGAAATTAAATATTTATTAATGACATTCATGGTATGTTGTGATAGCTGATTATACAGAGTGGAATTCGTAACATGACATTTATTAAGTGTCGTGTTGTAATATAACTATGAGACTAAAAGAGAGAGACACAAGAAAACTGGTATTTTTAATTAAACAAAAGAATAAAACAGCGTTAAAATACAAAATAAAAATACAAGGAACTAACGTGTTGATTATTTTAAAGTTTAATAGGCAAAGTAATAAGGAAAGGAGCATGGTTTGTTTCTGAAGGCAATTAGTCAATTTTTTCATATGATCTGCTCATATCAAGTACTTTGTATTTATTTATAATAAAACAGGCAAAAGATTTCCTTAAACAAATAAATAAAAAGAACATTTACTTCTTCCTACACAACAGAAAAACGGCTTGATATAATTTCCTGATAAATTTTTTTTTTTTTTTCTAAAATTCAAATAAGTATTTTTATTTTCATTTGTTGAAAATTCGTATTACATTTTTTCTTTTTAAATTAGTTAGATACGAAACCCTGTTTAAGTTAGTACTTAGCACTATTTTTATTTGTTTGTTTTAGTCTAATACAATTGCTTTTTTACAGTTTTGACACAATAACTAAATCCAATTTCAAAATTTTTTATTATTAATTTTAGTTATATTTCAAGTGGAAAAATGTATACCTTTACTTACAGTTCTATATTTCAATACTAAAATCACCTACTCAGGAATCAAGTTACTTTCTGTAGATATATTATAAATTTTCCAACTAGAAATATCACTAAAATAACTTTACTCAAAAATGTTGAAATTGTAGTGCTGTCAACTGAAAGGGTCATATGAAAAAAAAAAATAGCCTACCATAATCTACTTTATATAAAATAGTGTAGCATAGATTTATTTTTCGAATCTCAGGAGCGATGGAGTTTGATGAATGTACCAAAGGTATAAATGTACAGGTAATATCATAGAGAAGTGAAGAATTCCGATTTTAAAAATCAAAACCTAACTACTACTAAAGAAAGTTTTATTTATTTTTTTATTTATATGATATTTACAACTGTATAAAAAAAAAAATACATCTAGTAAATTCGCACATGGATATAATGACATGAACACATGTTGAGAAAATACCCTTTGATAGCACTCTAATAATATGTTTATATCAGGAGATCACGTGGACATCTTCTTTTTAGACGCCTCGGGGGGTTATCAGGAATTTAATCGGAAGCAAGGTTAGAAACGAGAGGGTTGGGATGGTTATGAAGTTTACTATGGAAGGATAGATATCTGAATTGGGCCAAATCTGATACATAAGGAACATTAAGGTCATTGTGGATGATTTTATTTGTGAAAAAGGAAGGAGCATTGAGGATTTTACGAAGGATTTTTGGTTGTAAGGATTGGATACTAGAGGAATTTGAAGGTTTGGCGGAGCCTCATAGCTCAACTCCATAAGTCCTAATAGGCCTTATTATAGTCATGTAAATGAGTCTTTTGTAATTAATTGGAAGGTTAGAGCGTTTGTCTAGTAAGTGTTGAAGTAGTCGGAAACGTCGAGCTGTTTCTGTCGTTTCAGTCTGGTATGAGGATTCCAAGTTAGACGTTTGTCCAGATGGAGACCTAGGTCTAAAAAAAAAGTAAATTCATTAAAAATATTGAGAGGTTTCTAAACTCAAACAGTTTAAATAATCGACAGATGGAAACCCAGCATAGCTCCTTTAAATCTGTAACTGTCCCTTGATTTTACAACCCTAAAATGTACAGTTTTTAGTTATACGGCAAAAATCCCTAAAGTTCGACTACCGCTTCTTAGATGCTAAGGTTTTTATGAGATAATTGTCACAGATATAGTTTTTACAAATTAAAATATTGCTGTTAGTGATGGACGAAGTAAAACTGAAAAGAGGAGAATAACTGTACGATCCCTTGGACACTTTGGATAATATAGGAAGAATATGTTTGATAATTTTAATATATAAAAATATATTTATAAATATATATTATGGCTTCAATACTTTCAGTAATATACTTCTTTACTCATAGTTGGAATGGCCGTCGATAGTCGATATTATCGAAATATTTCTCTTCCTATGATCGATATTTTACCATCGATGGTGTATACTTCGATATTATCGTCTATCAATATCGTCCCTTCGATATTTTAGTATAAAATAATTAAAAATAAAATAATATACATGAATCTGATCGTTAGAAAAAGAAAATATACTCATCTTGTCTGTTCAATATAGAATGCACAGTAGACAAAAAATATCAACATTTCTGTAATATCGACTATCGTTGGTCATCTTTAAGTAGAGTTGAATAGCACGCACCATTTTCACAGACAATTGGCCAAATTTGTTAGTTAGAACCTTTTCAAACCAATTCCACGAATTGCCGAAGAAATCTATGTATGATGAAAACAAATTACCATTTTACTTAATCCGATCTATTAGTGAATAGAAGGCATAATTGGATGAATAGAAATTTCTTGAAAGAGTTTCTTGAAGATGGCTAAGAAGGACAGGAACTAGAAAATTAATTTTACTAAGGAAAGTAGAAGAACATTCTATTTAAAGAATCCTTTAATTAATTTAAAGAGGAAAAATCATCTTTTTTGATAAGCTAAAGTGCTAAAGAATCAATATTTATATTTATATTCGTATTCTAATAATGTTTATAATATTGATGAAAATATATAGAATCGATATTTCAAGTCCGATATTTTGGTGATATCGATAGTTATTAGCCGATATTAATCTTATTGGCAATATCGATATTCAGCCTTCGATATTCTATCTCTAACTCTTAGTGTTGCCCAAATACGAGACCAAGACAAGTCTTGCAAACTCAGTCTTGGTCTAGGTCTCGGTCTTGTGCAAGACTCTCGTAACAGTCTTGCGATAAATGTATTTTATCAGAGAGATATTACTGTAATTTTTTAGATATGAGAAACCTAACTAAGTATGAATGAAAAATTAGAAGAATTAAACGCAAAAGTATGTTGGTTACACCAATTCTTTACATATAGAAACTAAAATCTTCAAGTATTAGTAACTATTTCGTCTTAATTTTTTTTCAAAAAATCGGTTTTTTCACCAGTCTTAGTCTCGGTCTTGCAACAGATAGATAGTGTTGGTCTTGATCTTGCAAAGTCCAAGACCAAGACCAATTTTGGGCAACACTACTAACTCTTAGTAATTGAGAGAACACCATCTGCACCATAGAGTTTGAGCGAATACAATATGGATTAGAATATGTTCAGAGATACAGAATCTTACTACATAACTATTGAACTGAAGGGATGATAGTTTCCAGTGGAACAAGTTAATTGCTTATAGAGTAAATTATTATTTTAACAGGTGAAGTTAGAAAATTAATTACCAATTGTTTGTGATGAATAGACTATCTTGATAATATTATATTGTATATACTTATAAAAATATATCGCTTATTATACGTCAAATGCATTAGAAAGAAGGATGGCTATCCGTTGTGAGAGCTCTCATTAGAAAATATCAATCAGGAATATCGGCATGTCGACTCAAGTTTGTTAGACTTGGCGGTATTCCTAATGAATTAGGAATTATTAAAATAGGTAAAGTGGGTACCGGATCCTTCTCTTGAAGACGAAGAGAGAGACTGCAGCGGTCAAACAAGAAGGACAACCACCGCCCGTGGATAATTACATTTAATTGCGGGCACTGTCCATTGTCTGCGCCGCCATTACATATTCTTTATAAAATAATGGTTGATATATATTCATGTACTCAGCCGCGGAACGTCTCACGTCCCGATGATTTTCATCACAGTGCTTCTTAGCGCAACGCCCTCGTTTCCATCGCGCTTCTTTCCTCTTTTGTCCGAATGATTCGCTCCGTTTTTCTCGGACGACCGTTAGGAAATCTCTGCGATTTCCTCATCTGTCCAACACGCCCCCTCTGCCTGTCCCAGGAGGTGTAACGCAATTGGTTCCTAAAGACCACTTCTTTCGTCATTGCATGGGCATGTTCCCGAAAAACTGGTGTGAAAACTGAAAGCATTGAGGTCATTTCATGAAATTGCAATGGCCCAACGATAGAGCCTTAAGAATTCAGAGAAACGAAAATCTCAAAAGTTCAAAGCCAAAATAATCTAAAGACTACCGGTACAATATGCTGTTTAATGATCCTTTAATGTCCACTCGCAACTTAAAAAATGAAGAATAATAAGTACTCCATACTATTTTTCTTTTTCTTTTTTTTTATAAATGTGATATTAATTATTTTTCCTGCCTAATCGTATCAACATAATTATTGATTATTATTCTAATTATATACAAGCTGGTGTTGATGGATTATATTTATGTGGTACTTATACTTTTTTTAAAAATAACCTAATGGTTATTTTTTACAATTTTTCAACGATTATATTACAACACAATGAACAATTTATATGTCTTTTATACATTTAAGTAAATTTTCATTTTATTTTTCATTTTCTGCAAGTGTTTCACTCATAGTGGAAAGTATAGTGTGCTTTGGAGTCAGAGTAAACTCTATAAGTTGTTACAGTGTTTAATGTGTATTTTTATTGATATGACTTCTGTTCGTCAGAAGAAAATATATAAAAAATTAATATCTAAATAAAGTTATCTTGCATTCCTTGGAAACAATGTCTACGAATCTAAAAATATGGATGCCAGATTCGGTTTTTACTTGAAACTACTTAGAAATCTAACTCTAGAAAATTCAAAAGATTTTTTTATTCATTTTCCGTAAAAACTTGCATGCCCCAATTCATAACATAGGACGTCTGCAGTTAAGTTATTTTATATATATTTTATTTTATTTTAAATATATTTTATATTTTTAGTGTAGAATTAAAATATTTCAAAGCTTAAAAATAACTTCATTACTTTTGTTTATTAAACGAAACAATTTATTGTTAAAGAAATATATTTTTAGTTTTTCGAATTTATCAGTTGTGTAATAGTTCTAAAGTAATATTTATCTTACTGACAAAGTGTTTATAAATTTTATTTTAGCTTGAATATCGTCGTTACAATTTTCGGTCAACTCATTTTCTGATTGGCTAAGAAGTCGTCTGGGTGTGTCATTTGGACAAGACGTTATTACGAAATGGCAGAATTATATTTAACTTTACCCATTGTGACATTAACACGAATATTATTATTTAAGCCATGTTTTTGATTGTGTAGACAAGTTCAAGTCTCAAAAAACCATTCGCACAACTCCATTTTCGTAAAGATATATTTATATAATTTATTTACTGTATGCATACATATTTATTTTTTTTCTATTTTCCTATAAAAAAAAAAAAAAAAAACGAGCCTGTTGCTTTAAAGTTACTTTCAAATTTAGAAATTTATAAAATATTTATTTAATTTCAATCTTTATAATATTGTATATTGCAAATAGTGCTGAACATATTTACTATTATGTAGTTTATGAATGTGTTGTATAGGCTATGAGAATACATTGAGAAATATCATAAATAAAAAGTATTCTATATTATAATATCACTTGTAATTAAATTTAAAAAAAAAATTTGGATTTTATAACATGTTTTATGCATGCGTATATAACGTAGTGATAGACGACCTTAATTTCATATTATTAACTACATTTTCATTTTTCACTTATTAAAATATTTTTATAAGTATCCATAAACCTGAATTGTGGAGGTAACATTAACGTTAACGAAAAAATATCGACGTGAAAAGGAGCAGAATTTCAAGAAACATTAGACACATAGCTGTAAATGAGTAACTCTTATATTAATTTATACTACATTAGCAACATAATAACAGTTATTTTCAACGAATACGTATCCATTGGATCGCATGAACAAGAGGAGTAAAGCTTTTTAGCAGCGATACACTTATAAGATCTTAAGCACGTAAGTATGTTTCATATAACTGAAATTTATGATCTATACATATAGGATATAGTATATATATATATATATTATTATATAATACATATATAATTATTATATTATATTATATTATATTTTATATATATATATATATATATATATATATATATATATATATAATATATTATATATAATATAGCACTACTAATTCGGTTCATATATCCATCAAATGGTTAATGTTCAATACGAAACTGTATGAATTGATTTGGCCCGAGAGCTCAGTGAATCAAGTTTTAGTGCAATTAAAAAAAAAGAAAAAATGAAGAGGCTCCTTTCTTTTTTTTTTTTAATACTTCATTAAGAAATTAATATAAAACCAAAAAATAAATAAAACTGTACCTTCCTACTACATAAAAAAACCAAGAAAAGTGCGATCATTATTTATTTTAGTTGACGAGATTTTCGCATACAACGGATTGAAAGCGGATTGAGTAGCTTCCATTCCAACATGTATTTATAATTAGCTTCCAAGAAACGTTTATTAAATACGTTATAAATAATTATGAAACTATTAATATTTCTCATTGCAAATAAACTAAAAAGTTTATAATTCAAGTTAAATCTTGAAAAAGGAAACACATATTCCCTTTACCTAAGAAGTAAAGTTGGATAAAATCAAGACAATATATTATAATAAAAATAAATAAAAAAATGTCTGCTATAATAACCGACAAATCAGGATCTTACCCTTGAATATTTGTAAAATATAATTTATTATTTTCGAGGGGACAGGAGTTAGTGATAGCGGTTTCGCCCAGCTGTTTCACTACACGTATTTCAGTTTATCTCTTTGGAGATCTATATAGGCTTCGAGAGAAAATTATCAGATATATCTAGAATGCAGTCATTAAGAGATGCCGTAAACGGGTCGGGGTTTAACTCTGGTTTGGTTACATTGCGATGTCACTGCTCATTGAAAATATCATGTAGAGATTTGTCATAAGTCAGGATTTTTACTCTTTTACTTACTCTAAAGGCTCAGATAAAAAAATCCATAAACTTTTTATTCATTCCAATAATACATGTATACGAAGCGCCTAAGTAATATTTTGATGTAATTATTTAGGTTTTTGATATATTTATTACGAATAAAAGTATAATATGGAATCTGTGTTTATCTCGATTTGATTCATGTACTTTCAGAACGCGATTTTTTTTTTTCTGAAGTGGAGTCAATTCAAACGAGGAAAATAATACGTACAATGATAAGTAAAATTCTGTTTATATCTAATTATTTGTTTGTGCCTTAATTATAAATGAACATGAAGGAATTTCTGATATGATCGTAGGAATAATAAACCAGGCAGTTCTTTCCTTATAGATTTTTTTGTTAAACTACTTTTATTCTTTACAGTTATTTTCTTCATGCTCAGTAGCAGGTGTTGTTCATTATTAATTTTCCTGTATAAATAATAAAACTCCCTAGCTATAATAGTAAAAATTCCACGCTATAATAGTAAAAATTCAAAAGAACTACCCAACAATTAAATATATATATATATATATATATATATATATATATATATGGAACCAAATTACAATTTTAAAAAATGTACCAAATATTTTTTTTACAAGATAAAGTACAAATATCCAAAACATAGAGGTTCAAGTGAGCTGGAATAGAAAGTATATATATTAATTGCTTAAATGTTAAATATTTGTTAATAATTAGAAATTGAAACCAGTAGTGTAAAGAGGAACGAATTTTGGTGGATGGTCTGTTACTGAAACAATGTCTTATTTGGAGATAATATTTTTATATTTATTCATATTGCATACATGCATACATTTATTAGCTGAGGTATATTTAATAAAAAAAAGGTAACACATTTTAAGTCATAAGTAAAACTGGTTTTAAATTAACACAACTTCTTGAAAAGTTTTATTTAAATTCTTCTTTGTTTAAGAAATTTTAAGTATTTTTTTTTTTACTTAAAAATTCAAAACCTTTTCAAATCCTTTTTTGATTTTCTTATTGAAGACTCCAAGGTTTTTCTTGTTGAATAGTTAAAAAAATAATAAAATTTTTTTTGTTGATTATGGAAGGATTCATTCTTATCATCAGACTTCTTCAGCGGTTTCCAGTACCTATAGTTCTCCAGAAATATCCGATTTTATATTAATGATTTATTATATTTGTGATTAAATCCTATATTCCTTCTCGTAGCATTTCTTCCTTTACAAATTTTTTTAACATATATTGTAATGAATTTCATGACATTATTTTTTCCAATCAACCTCACATTCGCTGGTTGTCATTACCATTATGACAGGTGTGAATTAAAAAAATAAACCAAAAAAAATATATATATTGTCTCATGCGTGCTACCTTGTTTTGGAGTTGCTTACCCACTTCTATACCCAAAACCTCCTTTTTAAATTTATTTAAACAATGAGCATTTCTTCATTTTCCTACAACCAATCTTTCTTTTATTATGAGAATTAAATTGTTCGTATTTCATTGCTGCCGCCATTATTTAACTTATCTCAAAGCTATTATTTAAACTGCTTACAAGTGCAAATATATAAACATACTGACATTTATTTATCTATAGTTTTATTATATTTATTTGTTTACTTATTCTTGTCTTTTATTTTAATGTTAACATTTCATTATTCTATAATTAAATTATTTCTCAACTGCCATTTTGTAAATCTGTATTGTCCATTTTCATTATTCTTAGAGAACTAATTTTTTTCTTAGAACAAAATTTACTCTTCTTTTTTTTCTTCAATTTTTGTTATATATAATTAATAATTTAAATTAATTGTGTTTGGATGTTGCTTCTTTAATGCCCTCACATAAATCCAAAATTTATATCTTTATATCATAATTAGTGTTGATCAAAATCGGTCTTGGTCTTGCAGTTTGCAAGACCAAGACCAAGGTTACCTAACTGTTCCAAGACCAAGACCAGAACTGGTAAAAAAAATCGGTTTTTTAAATAAAAAAATAAGGCAAAATAGTTACTAATACTTGACAATCTTAGTTACTATATGTTAATAATTGTTATAACCAATATACTTTTGCAATCAACTCCTCTAATTATTCATTCGGGCTTAGTTAGGTTTCTCCTATCTAAAAAAATACAGTAATATCTCTTTAGTAATA